ATACCAGGACCTCGTGCTCCCCCATACACTCAGCACGGGGGCGGGCAGGGTGGTGAGCAAGCAGCAAGAGGAGGCAGGTGCAGCAGGTGTTTATTGGAGAGCAAGGGTACCAACCCCAGAACCAGCTACACATATACAGGCTTAGAGGCCAGAGGCCTGGTTCCATAGGCGAGGCAGCACAGAGAGGCATCTGGGCACATGTGCATGTAGATTTCTTGCCTTGTACAGTAAGTCCGGCAGGCCCCCTGGCCCTTCCAGCAGCGCTTAAATTCACTTCTCCCTGTGCAGAGGAAGACCACAGGTCACAGAGCAGCCCATGGGTTGCAAGTTAGACCGCTGTTCACAGCTTTGACCATACATCAAGAGTTAGGCCACAGGTCACAGATAAAACCACTGACCACAAGTTAGGCCACAGGACCCACATTAGATCACAAGTCTGGTCTTTTGTTAGCTCTCCAGTCATTGTGTTGGATGACTGGTCATACAACAGCCCACAGGTCCTAACTTAGGCCAAAGGACACGAACTCTGACCACAGGTCAAGGGGTTAGAGCAGATGGAACAGACTAGACCCCTAGTCACAGATGAGACAACTAGTTACAAATAAGCCTACCAATATCAGTCCGGGTTAGTCCACAGGTCACAGGTTAGACCACTGGTTATAAGTTAAAAACCAATTTCCCTTTTTTTTTTTTTTTTAAGATTTTATTTATTTACTTAGAGAGCAAGTGGAGGGAGGGGCAGAGGGAGACAGAGAGAGAATCTCAAGCAGACTCCACACTGAGCTTGCAGCCTGACATGGGGCTCCATCTCACAACCCAGAGATCATGACCTGACCCAGAATCAAGAGTCGGATGCTTAACCAACTGAGACCCAGGCGCCCCTGGAAACTAATTTCTTGTCCAGGTTAACTCACCCCCTGCTCAGGTACACTCTAAGCCCTTTTCATCACAACACTATACAATTATAGTTGGTCTTATTATGATCCCCATAATACAAGGTAAGGAAACTAAGGCACAGAAAGGCTAACAACCTTGCCCAAGATTACAGTCATTAAGGAGCAGAACCAAGATTCAAAGCCAGGTAATCAGACTCTAAAGTCCACACTGGTAACCATGACATAAACTGCTTTGCACACATAGGGACCTGTTTAATGTTAGTGGAGGAATTTCCAGCCCTGGGCCATGGAAAAGGTAGGACTTTGGAAGAACAGGTCTGTACCCCCTCTAAGGGTCTTCCGTCATAGCATGAGGCATCTCCTTCATTTATTTCTTCAACAAACATGGCACATTGGAGATACCACAATGAACAAGATGGGCCAAGGTCCATGCCCTCAAGGAGCTTCCAGAAGGAAAGGCAGTTAAAACCCTAGCAAATAAATACAATTAGTAGAGTTGTGGAAAGTGCCCCGAAGGAAACCATCAAGATGTGGTGATGGCCAATTAGGACAGGTATACAAATGTGAGGAGAGAGGCCACTCGGGCAGGCCTGTCTGTTACAGCAATATTTCTAGACATGTGACCCAGATAGGCAGAGAGCAGCCTCTGAAGAACCGGGGCTGAGCGGGAGGTGGAGGGGAAAGGCTTCCCTCCCTCTCCCTGGATTAAAAGAGATCCCTTGCGGGCGCCTGGGTGACTCCATCAGTTGGGCGTCTGACTCTTGATTTTGGCTCAGGTCATGATCCCTGTGTTTGGCTCCAGGCTCAGTGGGGAGTCTGCTTGGGGTTCTCTCTCTGCCTCTCCCTCTGCCCCTCCCCCCATGCTCTCTTACTCTCTCTCTCTCTAAAATAAATAAAGAGAGAGAGAGGGAGAGATCCCATGGAACCCTCACAATGGGCCAACCCATGGATGTTATTCTGCCCTGTCCACCAGCCATCCTTCCATCCTGCCAAGGTAGAGAATCTTAGCCTGAGACAGACCTGGCCTCAAAATCTCTACAAGGAAAAGGATCCACACTCTGAAGAAGGTGTGTGTGTAATAGTTAGCGGCATGCTGTGAACCCAGCTCAGACCACCTTCGTCCAAATCCCAGCTCTGCTATTTCCCAGCTGAGTGACCTTGGCCTCAGATTCCTCCTCTGTGGAACTTCCCCCCTTTCAGGGAGGCAGTTATACGGGCTTTAATCACCCTAGCACAGTGCCTGGCACATAGTAAATACCCAATAAATGGAAAGGGAGATTACTGGAATGACTACACAGAGGGGGGAGCAACCAGGGCTCATTCGCGGCCAAACTTCTCCTTTTATAGCTCAAGAAAGGAAGCAACTTACCCAGCTTTTCCTAGCCAGTAACTGGTAGGTTCTGGAACCAGAACCCAAGACCCTGATTCCCAGGTAAGGGCAGTTCCTATAACTCCTCTTAACACATCATCACATTTCGACCTTCTGATGACCCTGAGACCCAGAGTTGCTATTTTCTCCTACGTGATCTGTAACCACCCCCCCAACCCTCATCTCTTTGACTTCATCTTCTCTCCTGGTGCACCCCCACTCCAGCCATCCTGGCCTCCTCACTGCTCCTCAGACACCATCAGTCACCTTCCTGCCTCCTGGTCCCTGTAAAGATCTTCTTAATATTCTCACTGCAGTTAGATCTCTGCTCACATCAGCCTTATACAAGATAGTTAAGATACCTGAGACTGACTTCACGACAGTTCACTAAAACAAGACTGGTTCCAGTTGACAATTGTTGAGATTGGGTGAAGGTACACGGGGGTTTTTCATACTATTTTTTAATTTATGTTTGACATTTTCTAAAATAAAAAGGTTTCTTTTAAAAACTTACATCATTACATTATTCTCTATGTTTGCAGAAATTTATATTTTTCTACAATAACATGCTTTAAAAAAAAAAAGACTCACCTTGTTCCTTATATTATTCTCTCTACTTTCATGTAAATTTCAAGTTGTTCAAAATAAAAACTTAGAAAACAACCCCTTACACAGGGCCTCCCTTGACCATCCCCATCAGCTCTCCCATCCACCCCTCCCACGTGCACACATCACACTGACCCCGGGTCCTGCTTCTACTCTTCTGAGCACTTATCACCACCTGACATATAGTGTTTATTTGGTTCTTTTCTGTCTAAAATATCAGCACCATGAAAGCAAGGACCTTGTTTTCTTTCCTTCCTGGTTCCCCGATAGCTGTCATGGTGCTGGCCCACAGTAAGTATTTTTCAAAAAAATATTTGTTGAGTGAATCCCATTTTAAAGATTAAGAAACTGAGGTGCAGACTGATTTAGGAAGTTGCCCTAAGGTGCCCAGCAAGTCAGAGGTGGCACCAGGACACATACACTGGTCTAGGCCTCCTCCATCCTCCAGAACCTGGGAGGCTATTCCTCATTTTACACACACACACACACACACACACACACACACACACACACACACACA